CGATTTTCTTTATGAAATACAAATGGTTTATTCACAAGAATTATAAAAACTGAACGTAACACGGAATAAACTAATTATTTTGGACTCAATGATGGATAATTACTTTCCACGATAGATAACGATATTATTATCACCTCTAGCATTTTTTTTTCAAGCAAAGAGTAACGCATACAACGCCATATCATCGTAGTTAACAATGTATCTTCGTTTATCATCGTTATCTTGATCGTGCAGAAGTCTCTTGTCGGCTCTCGTTTTTAATGAGTACGGACAACACGCGATCAAACAAATCTAAACGCGTCAAATAATTTAATAATGTATGAAGAACGTAGATAATTATACAGATAAATAATTATACAGGAAACAATTGGATTAATCGCGTTATAGATTTATGAAAATTTTCATATTATTAGAATTTAAATATAGCGTTCAAAAATATCCTTTGATTTGCTATTCGTATAATAATAATATCGCAAGGGAAGAGAACACGTTCTATTGTTCCTGTCAAATCGAAACACTTGTTTTTCAAGATCCGCCCTCGCGGTGCAATTTACTCTGTAAAGTATGGTGAGCTCTGCGAAGCTACAAAAGTAAATTCCATTAAAGCAGCAACGGGGTACTTTCCTTTAATGTCGTTAGTAGGAAAGAGCGGGAACGAGTTGTGGTGGTGGGAGGGGGGGGGAGGGGGGAGGAAGATCGTACGAGGGTAGAAGTAAGAAACGAATCACACCGAATCAACGGTGCAAAACTTATATTATCGCGTAGGACTACATTTTTTTGCTTTGAAGAAAGCAAATCACCCATTCGCGAGAAGAAGATAATAAATAATAAATAGCAAAGAAACGAATTTAATTGGAAAGAAGATAAATCCGAATGATTAATGAATTAAATGATTAATATCTCTTTTATTACGTTGTATTAAATCAAAATGCAGGCTAACCTAAATTCATTTTTCACGGATTATGAATATTTGGTTCGGCTGAACGCATGAAGATCGATACACGCACTCGGCACGCGCTTGTGAGCGCGAATAAATATGCCCAGTCGCGTGTACACAAATTTTAATTATGAATCGCCAATTGAATTCCGGCGAACAAGATCGTGTGTTCGCTACCAGAAGCGCGCGCGCGCGCGCGAACGTGGATAAATTATCGGCTAATTCCTTTGCTGCTGAAAGATCGTAAAATTTATCTGGTAACTGGTTTTTGTGGTGTGCGTGGTAGCTTTACGCGATAACTGAAAGTGCGCTTAGCGTCGCGATCATTATTTGAAGTACATTTTTAAAGGCGCGTACCACTATTGTTAGTGAAGCACCTGTCCCGCTCGGTTCGTTGAATTTGGCTCGTGCTATACATGTGTGTGCGCGCGCATCGTGTCACGCGTACCAACACGAATACGCACGAAGATACACGAATCCGGAGAGAGTCATGTAAACAGTACAAATATGCGGCCACATGTATGTATATGCATGACCGATTACCGAGTAAATTAATGAAGGAATATATATATATATATATATATATTAGAAATAATAAGATAAGAAACTACGTATTCAAATTATAGGAATAATTCCTTAATATTTTTGTACATCGAGCTCGGATATATGTGTGTCAATGAAATAAATTATAATTACAAATGTGAAACGGGAATTCATTACGAGGTAAAATTATATAGAGAATTATTACGGGCAACAACGTGTACGATGTATTCAAATGTAATTCTATATATACAGAAATAAATAGATAAACAGAAGATAATATATACAGAAGGAAGAGTGATAAAGAGAAAAAGAGAAAGCAAAAAGAAAAAGAGGTATATAGCTATAACTGACCATAAAATTTGTTAACGATCTGTAACGAGAAAAAAGCAACAGTCGGTGAATCATGGGATAATTATCTTTCGAGCACGACTAGTATTTTATCAGAGCTATATTTGCGGTAACACGTTCGCGAATTGAGAATCAAGAGTAACGAGAAGCAAATATTATATTACATAAATCCCGAGAGAAAATGATTACCGTGAGAAACGTTTTTGTTATATAGGGGCCTGTACAAAGTCTGCAAAGACGTAAATTATGCCACGCGCACTAAATTCTAAATTTAATCTTTTTAAAAAATGTCATGTGTTTGTGTAATATTGAAATTCTTAAACGTAAATAATGAGTCGTCAAATCGTATTACGTAATTTTCACGATGCAAAAATAGACCTTTCGATTGAAATAATTTTAATATAACTCGTAAATACACATTTGCACTTTTAAACGAAAAATTGTAGAGAACAACTCGTCTATATTTGATGCACGAAAACATTGTCCAATATAAAACATATCTCGTAGAAATTACACACAGCGAAGTTAAAATAAATGTTTTGTTATTTTTTGCGATTCTTGAATCGCGCACAGAAAAAGCACGAATATGTATGTGTTTGTTTACCACAAGGACAAAGCATTATTTTAATCGTGATTCACGTATTATTTAACCGACGCACGAAATTAATAAATAAAATTAATAATACATTGTTTATAAAATTTGCTTTTACCTTATATTATTAAATTCAATTCGAAATACATTTTGTACTAAATTTAATGAAATTATTACATTGTTTTCCATCAATTATTTATTTAAATTTAATTATAAAATTTAAATGTTTAATTTCCTTTAAATGATTTAAATATAATTTATACCCAACGAATATATCCGATTAAAATTAAAAAATTTATTATTAATATTTGTATATTAATATATTCATTTATTTAAATAAACTCCATGATACCGTAATCATTAATATTATCGCAAAACATTACTTATTTTATAAGATAAGTATTCATTGTTGCATAATAACATCATTTCACCGTGCCTCACTTATCATACTCCAAACAGCTTCGCGTCGTATAAATATATAATTTTATTACGTCATAGACGCTCAAGTATAGGTCATAGGGAATTTTCATTAGAACACCAATTATTATTCTATTTATCAGTATCATTTTTTATAATTTATATTTTCCATTTTAGCAACAACATGAAAAAGAAAACGAAATAAAATTTCTATGGATAAATAACTCACCAGAAAAAGTAAACTTTATTCAAAAAGCCAGAGAGAATATTTTAAGTTGTTATACGGTGAACAAAGGCGACGAAAAATTGCAGAAGTTTGTTGTCTCTTTATTGCGAGAAAAAGACAATAGAGACCACTTTACATGTATTACGTATTCAGTCGAGTTACGATAACAAAAATAACGCTCACACGCTTAAATCCTGATATAATAATTATTTCACGATCCCCCCCCCCCCATTATCGATTAAATTTTCAAATATATATATTTTTAATTCATTACCCATTAACGATAAAGACAGAAATAATGTGAACCTCTTTTATACGCGATACGCGCATTGGACACCATTCTTTTACACATAGCAATTTGTGAATCGCGATTCACATGTAATATATGTTGTCCGACCGTAAGATATTCATTCGATGCAATAACTAATTTTGTAACACTGTCCTTGTTCAACTATCATTACGAATGAGCGATTTTGTAGCTGCTATGTGAATACTATCATTTGTTTCTATGTTTCGTCAACCGTCTCGATTCGAAAAATGTCGCCGACAACAAATCGACCTATACACGAAATCGAAATCGTTATTCTGAATCTCACAAAAATCGTTTTCTGAATGCTTCCATGAGTATTCATCATATAAATTGCAATTCACGAATCGCTGTATGAAAAATTCAGACGTGTGAGGGGAAAAAGAGATTTGAGAATAAAAAATGGGAGGATGATAAAAAAAAAAATGAAAAAATAAATTTATGATATGATAAAAATAATAAAAAAATATTATCGATAGAAATCTATAATTATGATTCAATAATTGATTTCAAGAGATAAATAATATTAATTCAATTGTTTTCGTATATGTTATATTGTAAATAAAAAATTAACTAAAAAAGGAAAAAAAAACTGTTGATAATAAAAATTGTAAACTTCTTATTCGACTGTACATCCTTTCTACGAACACTCCTAAATATATTTTTCTCACGACAGCCACAAACATACGCTCTTAAAATTTTCTTTAAACAGACGACGCTCTATTTATCTACCGCTTGTACCATAATATTTCATCCTAATAATAACAGACGTATTTATCGATTCGACTCTTGTGCACAAATAATATTGTTGTATTTTCTCTACAACGTTTCTTTTATACAATAATTTTATCTATCTAATTCAAAATATTTTTAAAAAAGAGAAAGTATCATGAAAAAGCTAAGAACTAAACAATTCGGGGAAAAATGTAATTTCTCATTAAATCGTTGTTAGGACAATGCGAGTCGAGGTGGCTGTGTTAAATCGGGTTAAGGCACATCTATAAATACCTCACTAACTGCGAGTGAGAGAACATGAGGAGAGAGAGAGAGAGAGAAAGAATATAAAGTGTACTGGTAGAAGTGTGAGAAAGAGAGAAAGAAGAATACAAGAGATAAAGAGAGAGAAAGAGGGAGTGAGTGAGATATGTAAACGGAGAGAAACAGAGAGAAATAGTAAGCAAGCATACGAGTAAGAGAAAGAATGAGAAGGGTGGGGATGGAATAAGGGATGGAGGAGGGATAGAAAGAGGGAGGAGGGAGGCTAAGAAACGTGCAAGAGAGATAAAAGCAGAATCACAAAGTTGACATAGAGAAATGAAAATGAAACAGAGAAAGACGAAAGGTTGATAACGATGGAGAAGGGAGAGTTAATCAGTCCTTCTAATAGTGTGGCACATTGAAGATATACACAATTGCATTTGTTGCCAGATGTCTAAGTACACGATTGTCTCCCCTCCATTGACTACCCCTTCCCCCACTCATCACCACGCTGTCACTTCTGCATTACGGACGAGCGAGAGACACATCAAGTGAATTCGACAACGGGGGAAAAAAAGATTGCAGGCGCGTAAATTCGTATTAACTAGACATAGACAATTTTTAATTATAATTTCAAATTATTATTGCTCACCTCTATCTTTTCCATTTCTTTGCTGCACGAGTGTCACTTACTATTCCCACAGTCATCTAGGATCCTTTGGTACACACACACTGACGGCACATAGCGCAATATATCACGAGCTACACAAACGCGGTGTGCGTGTATCGAAACGATATAGGTTTGACGCGCGCGGACCAGCGACTCACGGTGCGGCGCACGCCGCTGTCCCATCAAGACTACTTTGTATTTACTCTAATTATGTGACGTCACGGATACACTGCTCGCCCCACCATTCGCCGCCGGAGGCGCCCGAGCAATGACGAGCGTGCTCGAGTGTTGCCGAGGTCGAGCGAGCAATGCGCATGGCGCAGGCACCAGTCACCTGTCGTCTCTTCTCCTTCTTGTAGAGCACTGAGTGCAGTACATCGTGAAACGTTTGCAATAATCTACACTGTGTGATTCTTTCTTACCGAACTCTAGTATTTGTAGTTACGTATTTTTTCTACAATTACGATTTCGTTCTATCTATTAGAATATCTTCAATTTCTAATAGATAATGACAAACAATGTGCAACTAGAGCTACACAGCCGATTTTTTGTGTTCTAACCTTAATTTGACATATGAATCTGTGCTACTAGTGATACATTCATCCTAAAACTATGAAATTCAAGAATGTGTATTTATGAGTATTAATATTCTGTGATTTATAGGATTTTTGAATATCATCATGTTCGACGTTTAATTTACAATGCATATTTATGGACTTTTGTTGTGAGTTTTAATCGTTTGAGCAAAGAGTGCGAGTGTCATTTATGAAAAAATGAATTTTGAATAGTTATTTAATTATTATTAAAATGTGTTTATAAAACTTAACTATAAAATTGATAAAATAGCAATAACGATTGTGTTTTGTAAATTCTTTTAATCATTATATTTGATGTAAGTGAAGTTATATTTATTTGTTTGTTACTGTAATAATTGAAATATTTGTATTTCTGATATTAATATTAAATTTAAATTGTGAGAAACAAACTGAAAATTAAAACAAAATTATAAAAGTTAAAAAATTAAAGAAATTAAATTTTTTTCAAAAAAGAATTTGAATTCCTATTATAAATTAACATGGACAGATAATAAATCTTTTAAAAAAAGAATTGAACATTCGATTCTGTATTTAAAAATAAATAAAATATGACAATTTATAGTCATTTTAAATCTGTGTAAAAATAACTATTAATTTTGAATTTAACAAATACTGTCGATATAGATATACGGAAAAGTGTGTCGATAAAAGTGCATAATAAATTACACCATTGTTGAAAAATCATATTTATTTGTTCCATTCATTATCCAAAGCTCTTTTCTGATGAGTAATTTGCATAAAACTAGCGTTTTTCACGCTAAAACTATTTGCTTTTATCGAACACACAAATTACATAAATCGATATCTACACACGGTAGAAAAATTACATTTTCCAGACATTACACTTTATAGGTTAACTTTATTTTCTCGTGAATATTTTCTTCTCTATAGTGAATAAACTTCTGATTATTTTGCACTCGCGATATTCTTTTTTTATTATTCAACAGTTTCATATGTGTAATTTTCATATGTTATATGACAGAAATTTAAGAGTTGCTCCAGATAAAGATTTTGTTGTAGCGGAAAGCAACGTGCACGAGGAAGTAGGAATATATGCATATATGTACATGCATATATGAATATTCCTATATATATATATATATATATATATATATATATTATAATAAGTAGTAAG